TGTATTGATTGTAGATTTGTTTGTTTCGTCCTTCTTTTTTGTTTTATTTGGTTACTTCTGAGCAGGTGGGCTTTGCGTTCTTTGTTGTTTGCTCGTCTGTGGGCATACTTTTTGTCTCCTTGTCCAATGTACAGGGTCAGTCGCTCAGCTGTGGTGGAGCAGGGCAGGTCCAGCTGAAGGGGAGAGGTTGGGATGAGTTTGTTGCACATACTAGGGCTGACAGGGTGGGCCAGGAATCAGTGCAGGGCAGGTTCCAGTAGGCCTTGTCTGTGCTGTCCAGTGGTGTGATATTCAGTGTACGGTGCAGGTAGTCAGGAAGGAGTGGGGAGATTGTGATGTGTGGAGCTAAGATGGGCTTGGGAAAGAGGAGAGAGAGGAGAGAGAAGCAGGAGCCAAAAAGAAACAAACAAACGAAAAAGAGTGCTAAGGGAGCTTGCCATTGGAGTGGAGTGATGAAAGACCACGAAATGGAGAAAAATAAAAAGGGTAAAGAGGAAAAAAATTAGGAGAAAAAGAAACAAAAGAGAAGCAAAGCCCCCAGAGGTCCCAGCAGTGCAGCTGCAAAGACTGGGGAAGTGGCTCCTAGGCCGGGAAGTACAGTTTGGCTAGAAGGGGTAGAGGTGTCACGCAGTGCCCGGTATTCAGGAGGCAGGAAGAGAAGGTAAGTATAGAAAGAGGAGACACTGAAAAATGAAGAAAGACAAAAAAGGAAAAAGAAAAGAAACAAAAAACAAAACACACAAACAAATCCAAAAAAAAAAAAAGTAATGCCCCCAGGGATCCCACTGCATGCGGCACAGACTGAGGAAGTAGCTTCTAAGCCACGTGGTATAGCCCAGATAGAAGGGGTTCCCAAGCCGAGAAAAGAAAAAACAAAGAAAACAGAACAAATCAAAACAAACAGAAAGCCCCGGGGATCACACCAGTGTGGCGGTGCCGGCTGGCAAGCAGTGCCACAGTCGAATAGCGTTTCACAGCCTTTCAGGAAGAAGCAGAGATGGCACACGGAGCCAGGTATTTGAGAGAGAGGAGAAGGAGGTAGTGAGAAGTATGGAAGAAATCAAAAGAAGCAGGAAAAACAACACCAGCAACAAACAAATGGCACTCAGGGAGCTGGTCATTGTAGGTGGGTGGAATCCAAGCGGCACAGGGCTGAAGCCGGTGTCTCCTGGCCAAGAGAATGTGGCCACAGGAAGCAGAGGAGGCCAAGTAGGGATAAAGAATGGTGGGGGATGGGAAAGCATTTATCGTAGGTTACCGGTTTTTCTATCTCCTGGGAGCTCCATGAAGCTTCTTTCCCATACTTTCTGTTTTCTAGTCTTCAACATGAGTCCAAGATGACGAATTCGTGCTGCATTAGCTGATAGGGGACCTCTGCACGTATCTTTCCTTGCTCTCTGTTCTCTGTCAGTTTCTTACTCTATTGGGTGTGCTTGGCTGAGTTCTTTATCTCTTCATTTCATGCTTAGGGTTTCAGGATTGACATTTGTCTCTGTTTGACTTAGTTTTTTGGGTCTTTGCTGTGGAGGGACGACGTGCTTCTGTCTGTAGCGCCATGTTGCTCAGAAGTCTGCTTGATTTTTTTATGTATTATTTTGTTGTTGAGAGTATACACAACAAAACATATACCAGTTCAGCAATTTCTGCATGTACCATTTAGTGACATTGATTACATTCTTAGAGTTGTGCAACCATTCCCACCCTCCTTTTCTGAGTTGTTCCTCCGCCATTTACATAAAATCACTGCCCCCGAGGTTCCTATTTGATCTTTGGAGTTGCTATTGTCAGTTTGATCCCGTATAGATCTTAAAAGAGCATAATGCTCAAGGCAGACAGTTTTTACTAGCAAAGCTAAACTATTGTTTGGTTTTAAGAAGACTTCAGGGGATATTTTTGGTTTAAAGTTTAAAGATTATTTCAGGGCAGTAGTTTCAGGGGTTCATCCACGCTCCATGGTTTTAGAAAGTCTAGAATCCTTCACAATTTTGAATTCTGTTCTCCATTTCCCCCTTTTGATGAGGATTCTTCCATGGAATCTTCGATCAGAATGTTCAGTAATGGTAGCCGGCCACCATCCTGTTCTTTTGGTCTAATGGCAAAGGAGGCAGTTGTTCTTGGAGACTTTTAGCCACACGTTTCGTATCCTCCTCCTGTTTTTGACTCTCCTTCTTCCTCTGTTGTTCCAGGCAAATAGAGGTTAATTGTTGTGCCTTGAATGGCTGTTTGCAAGCTTTTAAGACTCTAGGCACTATGCATTGAAGTAGAAGGTAGAACAGAGCCACTAAACCTGTTACTAGGCCAGTTAACTGGGATGTCCCATGAAACCATGATCTTAAACCTCCAAACCAAGAAACCAAATCCCATTAGGATTTTGGTGGTACATAATCAGCCGCAGCAGCTGTTCTTTTTGTTGTTGTTGTTGTTGTAAATATATCTATCACACAACTTTTGCCAGTTCAACTTTTTATAGGTGTACAACTTATTGACAGCAATTACGTTAATTGGCTGTGCAGCCCTGCCCTTAATCAACTCAATATTTTCATCACTGTTAACTCTCCCTTTCCCCCCACCCTGATAAACACTGATAAACTTTGTTCTCTATACGTTTATCCTTTCTTGTCTTAATATATAAGTGAGATCATACAGTATTGATAATTTGCTTTATGTAGTTTCACCAAAACAAAAAACCAAAAAACCATTGCTGTCTAAGTAGATTCAAACTCATAGCGATCCTATAGGACAGAGTAGAACTGTCCCATAGGGTTTCCAAGGAGTGGCTGGTGGATTTGAAAATGCTGACCTTTTGGTTAGCAGCCCGAGCTTGTAACCACTGCACCACCAAGGCTCCACATAGTTTCAGAGTTGGGATATTTCAGATTGTAACTCTGTGGTATTATTTAATGTGTTCTTCTATTCTCTATATTTGCTATCAGTTGTTAATTAGATCTAGAGGCTTAGTTAGATTTAGTTTCAAATTTTTGGCAGGGTGTTTATTTTTTAAAAAGAAGCTTGTTAGACCCCCAAAGGAAGCTCGTTAGCTCCCCAAAAGAAGCTCATTAGGCCTTCACAAAATTTTCCCTGATGGAAAGTATTTGGAAGATACTGTTCAGCAACTCTTAATCATTTGTTTAATTGTTACATAAGCTATAGGGGATCATCATTTCATACCATTGTCTATCATTCTAGACACTGTTATATTCAAAATTATACTGTAACTCATAGGAAGAGGATACTAATTGCATGTTCTGTGAATATATGAAATTTTGATTTATAGTTCTTTTAAGTTCAAGGTCATCAGTGTTTACGTTTCTGGAATTGCTGGGATAATACTCATTCTGGTTATAGACCCACTGGCCACTATAGTTATATTCTGTGTGCTGCTTATTAATTTTGAAAATATTACTGGTGAATCTATTTAATATCAAATTGTACAGGCATCTGTAACTTTCTGTTGATCAGTGGGAAGACTGTTCAGAGAAATTATCCTCAAGATTTAATTAAAAAAAAAATGATGCTGTGGTTTAGAATGGCAAAAAGGTTGTATTTGATCAGTTCTTTGAATTGCTGAAGATGAATGAAAAATTATCAGCATGGAAATTGACTGTGATGCTGAATGAGAACTGACTTAAATGTTACTATTAACTTTAAAAAAAAAGTAATATTTTGGGAAGATCAAAATAAAATTTAATCATGCGTGTCATAATGACTTGGCTTGCATTACCCTCAAGATAATACTAGGTTAAAAAAAAAAAAGACGATACTGGGTTATACTTATCAAAACACTACAGTGTATATTTGGTAATTGTACAATAAATTTTTTCTTTCCCTGTGGTGTTTTTTACTCTTATTTTCTGTGTTCATTACTTTAACCAAAATTCTTAATTTGTAATTGTTTTATGGAACTGTTTTGAGTTTTTGGAGGCCTTAAACCAGGCTCTTTTTCATCATTAATATGGGTTCCTTGTCAGGCTGTTACTGAGTATTTTGCTTGCTTCTGACCACTGAAGTATAGCAATCTAAGATATTCACTTCTTAGTTCAGGAGTCTTACTCCCTTTTTATTATTTCGTTTCTAATGAAGTGCCTTATTGGGAAAACTAGAGTGGGAAGAATGTCCTTAAGATGGTGTAAAAAGCCTCTTGGGGAGAACTTTATAGCCTATTTCTCTGTTTTAAAAGGTATCTTTTTCTTTTTTTTTTTATTTCTACCAACCCACAACACAAGAGAGTGTAAAACTGAAACCCAAATAATTTTCCCTTTTGAAATGCTTAAAAGAAATATTTGGAATCTTAGCATCAAATGAAGGTTTACAATTTTGTCTTTCAAAAAAGTTTCAGTCATGGAAAATTGACTGTACTTGTTAATAACCAGTGTCACGTCATGAGGGAGAAGTTAATTCTCACTGGAGAATTATCTAAAAATAATGTACTTGAAAAGAAGTACATGTAAGCCAAAAAGATTATTGTTACTATTAGATTTTCCAAAGACGTAACTCCATTTCTGCTTAGGTAGTTTTGAATGAGCAGTGTGTCTTAAATTTGTTATTTGGAACAGAAGTTTTAGGAAGTTTAAAGTAAATTTAAAACTTTTTATTGAAGTACGGTGTACATATAGAAAAGTTTACAAACTGTAAGTGTACAGCTTGATGAATTTTCACAAACCATACATAACTATGTAACCAGAGCCCAGATCAAGAAACAGAGTATTACCAGCATTTCTGAGGCCCTCCTTATTCTTTGTAACCATCATCCTGATCTCTAACAATATAGATTAGTTTTTCCTGTTTGTATAAATGGAATCATATAGTAGGTCCTCTTTGTGTCTGGCTTCTTTTACTCACTGCTACGCATGTGAGATTCATTCGTATTGTTTTGGTTTCTTCAGTTTTCATTGTAGAATATTCCATTGTGTTAATATACTAAACTTACTTATCTATTTTACTGTCGATGGGCATTTGAGTAGTTAAGGAAACTTCTTAAGTCTTTCACTTTTTTTTTTCAGGAAGTTGCTATCCCTGCCCAGAAACTGTAGATGTTAAGTGCAATTGTGGTATTACAAAAGTGACAGTACCTTGTGGCCGAGAACGTACCACAAGACCACCCAAGTGCAAAGAGCTGTGCAGGTTAGTATGAAGTTTTGCACATGTTAACAAATTACAAATTTAAATTCATATTGATTTTTAGTAATGTTAGTATTTTTATTCAATTTTGCTCTTTAGTGTTTGAAAATATTCACAGTATGCTTATGCTATATGGAATCAGAAGATTATTTAAGTAGATAATTGCACTTTAGATGTAATTGTTAAGTGATCAGAAGTAACTTAAAAAATTGTACTTTATGATTTAGTCGACCACCAACTTGCCATCATACAAGTCAAGAGAAACATCGCTGTCACTTTGGCTCTTGTCCTCCATGTCATCAACCTTGCCAAAAAGTTTTGGAGAAGTGTGGTCACTTGTGTCCTGCTTCATGTCATGATCAAGCATTAATAAAGCAAACTGGCAGGGTAAGGGAACAGTATTATTAAAGAGATAGTGTATTGCTTTAAAAACGCATGGGTCATATTTTCTTGATTTTACTTAGTCATTCCACAAGCAGTGATTAAGCATTCATGGTTATCAAGCACCGTGGTAGGACCTGGGTTACAAGGTAAATAAGACTTGGTCTTTAGTCTTAAGAAGCTCATAATATAAAAAAGGAGAAAAACCAACAAATAAATGTTTGCAAATACAGCATGATTGATAAGCTCTTTATAATCATGATATAGATGAATCTGGTAGTCCTTTTTCATATATTGTGGTTTAAGGTTATAGATATCTCCTAGTTTCTTCAGAGTTTCATCCACCAGTTTAGCAAGTATTTATTGAGCCCTTCTATGTGTCAAGTGTTCTTCTAGCTTTTGGGGAGACAGCAGTGAACAAAAGAGTGGTGATGGTTGGAATTTACATTTCTGATTCTCATTCTCCTTTTAGCTTATGAGAGGTGAATGATGCTACACTGCCTTTGTTCTACCATTTGAAAGCTGAAATCTGCCTCAGTTTTTAATATCAGAGTGTGTGTGGAGGGGAACATGCTGATAGAATAAGATGGGATAAAATATTTCAATAAGCACAATATGTTGCTTACTTGAAAAAATTTCCACCTGCTCGAATGGAGGATACATGTAACTGTTTCTTAGATTCTTATAACGGCCATATGATTTAATCCATGTGATTTAAGATTGTTATGTGTTTAATTCACAGTACCAGCCTACAGGCCCCTGGGAACAGCCTTCGGAGCCAACATTTATTCAGACTACATTACCTTGTCCTCCCTGTCAGGTTCCTATTCCTATGTAAGTACTAGTGTTTTAACTTTTTTTTTTTTTTTTTAACATAATCTGAAGTGTATCTTAACCACCTTCTTCCCTTTTTCTTAGTTGAGGTCATCATTATTTCAGGGATAACCTATAAACTAGTCTCCCTGTTTTCAGCCTCATTGTCTTCCAAATATAGTGAAACCCGTGAGAGCCAGAACTTGACGGGACTGGCTTGTTTTTCTGGGTCTTGCAAGCTTTCCACTTTTGACAGGGTGCAGTCTTACCCCTTTTCTATCACTCATTTTAGTAGAAAATATCTGAGTTTTCCTTCTCTGACAGGTTTCCACCTTATACAGATCCCAGCTTTCGCAAGTTTTACTGTGTATTTGCTAGAGGTTTTTTTAGTTTTTTCCCTCAGCTAGAGTTTAATGTCCTCCCTTTTAGCTTCCAAGCAACTTGTGCTTACAGTTAAAATAATACATCCAAGAGTTCATCATTTGTTTATTTTTCTGACTGATTCCCATGTTAGCCTGTAAGTTCCTTGAGAGTAGAGGAAAGCCAGGTTTTAGATAAGTCAGACCTGGAAGAGAATGTTTCAGGGAAACATTGAATATGAAAGATTTCTTGGATGGGCCCAGGAATGACTGAGTCTGAGCTATAAGGGTAAAAGGATGAGCTGAACCTAGGATAACAGGGAATCCTGGAATGGTTCATACTTTTAGCAGAGGTTATGGAATATAGGAAGAAAGGAAGCATGGTGCTGGGAAGCAATATAAAATTAGGAAAGGGGTTGTTAACTATAACTAAGGTTCCAAATGCAATATTGGTATGTCTTACGTGTTCGTCATTTGAAAAGAGGATTCTTGTTTTCTTTGCTTCAGAAGTTACAGATCCTTTAAAAGCTCTTAATTTTTTTCTCCCACAACTCTCTTCTGAGTTTAAATAGCATGTGTATTTTTATATATGCAGGTTATACATTCAAGTTGTAAGGCAAAGTGTTGCTGGGGGTTATATCTATGAATGGGGTGATTTTAGTCTGTAGATTTAGTGGAGGGGACTTTAATGGAGAGGGGGTATAGTGGTTACCACAGAGATCCTTTAAGGAAGGTATACACGTATTAGAGACTAAGAATTTGTACTATGGTCATGATGGACCAAGTTAATTATCACATGTCTTACTAAGTTTTAGTTATTAGTGATTGTTAACCCATTGCCATCAAGTCGATTCTGACTCATAGCGACCTTATAGGACAAAGTAGAACTGCCCCATAGAGTTTCCAAGCAGTGCCTGGTGGATTCAAACTGCTGACTCTTTGGTTAGCAGCCGTAGCACTTAACCACTATGCCACCGGGGTTTCCAGTGATTGTTAGTGTCTTAAATTTTTCATTTCAGAGGAACCAAAGAAGAGACATGGATATTATGATTCATAGGCACTAAAATAATACATATTGTAATCAATTACCCTTGAATTCCTTATTCTGTCTTATAGTAACATTGTGTTTAGGATACATGTCTGTCTTACTTAATACAATTAATTTGCTTGAAATTTTAGGTTGATTAAATGTTTTTGTGACAGTAGAGTAGACTGTCTGGTATTATCAAGTCACGATTACTAGAGGTTTTTAAATTGAATTAAAAACAGTCTTTCCTTTTCACTTGACTGGAATGTGCTGTTGGAAGTTATTTGTGTGTGTATTTTAAAACAGATTTGTGTTTGAGAGTAAGGAGCTACAGTTCAGTGCTATGCTTCCCGATAACTTCTATCATGAATAAGTCACATGCCTTCTTTAGTTCTCAGTTTGTAAAGTAAAGAGGTTCAGGATAGGCACGAAGATGTCAGTACTTCTGAATGGAGTAAGTACTTCTGAACATCGGGGAGTAAGCACCTCTGAAAATTCCTTCTTCCATTAAAGCAATGAAAAAAAAACTGGCAGAAATGATCAGAATCAACTTTTTCAGAACTCTGAAGATGAACCAGAGACTTGACAGCAATCTGGGAAGTATTTATTTAAGAACAACAGTTGAATCTTGGTAAGAACAGCAAGCTTTGTGACATTTTAGCTCTTTCTCTTCCCAGCTCCTTCTCACCAGTTTTGTGATAGGCTTGAAAACTAACAGTCCACAATCATGGTGAAAAACCAGCAGCCTAGCAGCCACCAGAGGGGGGGCAGAATAGGTCTGGAACACTTTCAAAGCCTTATTTCCAGAGAATTACTTGACCTGTTTTGTGGTTCTCTAGAAGACCTCACTTGCAGGGCTGTCTTTATTTGACCTGACTTGGAACTCATCAAGTTTCAAAAGCTTTGGTGGCATTTGTTGAAAACAATTCGAGGAAATTGTTTTGACTTTGTGGCTACCTTAGCTGGAGTTGGGCCAAATAATAGGCTAACCCAAAAGCTTAAAAGGAAACATTGGGGGATCAGATGTCCATAGGGACTTTGAAAAGCTGTAACATATTCCTGGGAATCTGGAAGGCTATATGCATGTGTAAGGCTCTGCATGTGTCCAGGGCTGTGTGCATATTCAGGAAAGACCTGAGAAGACCCTAAGGCCATACCTCTAGCTGAACTTGAGGCTCCATGCAAGCAGTAAATGAAGAGTTGTCAGCTACCTGGCTGAGTGTTAAACACTATGTCCCAGCATATACAGAGTCCCTCAGCAAAGACTGGGAGACTTGTTGGTTTAAGTAAGTCTTACACTCCAGGCTAAACAATGGAATTTTCATTCACCTACAAGTTAATGACAAACACTGGATTAGTATAGAAGAAGCCAGTAAATTCATTTTGGTCCAAAGGTCAGGATGAAGAGATAATCAGTGGGAGTGAGTTCCACAGGCTTTTAAGAAAATCTAATTATTAGCTGACCACTAAGCTAACCAAGCAGAAAATTCAGTGACTGCATATGACATAGAATATAGACTTTACACAAATAGTTCAGAAAAGTCATTGAACAAACAACAACAACAAACTCTGAGGAAGGGAGAGAATTTGATTTCCAGAATTTCCATATTATATTAAAAATCCAGTTTTCAACAGAAAATTTTGAAATAAGCAAAGAAACAAATTATGGCCCATAGTCAGGGAAAAAAGCAATTAATACAAGCCATCCCTGAGGAGGACCTGAACTTTAAATTAGTTTTTTTCAGTATGTTCAAATAACTTAGGAAAACCATGACTAAAGAACTAAAAGTGACGATGACAGGGGTTCCAAGACAATTATTTAATAAGTGGAAAGATATCCAGTATTTGTGGATGGTAAGACTTTATATTGTTAAGATGAGAATACTCCTCAAATTGATCTACAGAGTCAATTCGAGCTGGCTTTTTTGTAGAAATTGATAAGCTGATCCTGAAATTCATGTAGCAATTCAAGTGGCCCAGAATAGGTAGAACAATCTTGAAAAATAAGAACAGTGTTGGAGGACTCACACTTCTTGATTTAAAAACTAATACGAGGCTACCATAATCAAGACATAAGGATGCTGGCATAAGGATAGACATATAGATTAACGGAATTGAATAGAGAATCCAAAAGTGAACCCACATATTTATGGTCAGTTGATTTTTGACAGGAGTGCCCTTGGTAACCACTAATAAACTTTGTTCTCTATACATTTGTCTTTTCTTGTCTTTATATGTGAGATCATATAATATTTGTCCTTTCATGATTGATTTATTTCACTCAGTATAATGTCTCCAGCTCCATCCCTGTTGTAGCTTTTATCAAGACTTCATTTCTCCTACTGAAACTGAGTAATATTCTGTTGTATGTGTGTACCACATTTTGTTTATCTGTTCATCTGTTGAGGGACATTTAGGTTGTATCCACCTTTTGGCTATTGTGAATAGTGCTGCAGTGAACATTGATGTACAAGTCTCTGTTTAAGTCTCTGCGTTCAAGTCTTTTGGGTATATACCTAGGAGTGGAATTGCTGAGTCCTGTGGTAGTTCTGGAGCCCTGGTGGTGCAGTGGTTAAGAGCTCTGCTGCTAGCCAAAAGGTCAGCAGTTCAAATCC